TTAAGCAGCACAACTGTTTTCAACATTGATAATAATCAGAAATGCTTCTTGAGCAGCAAATCAGTATATTAGAATGATTTCTGAAGATCATGTGACACTGAAGACTGGAGTAATGATGCTGAAAATTCAGCTTTGATCACGGGAATAAATTACATTTAAAAATATATTCAAACAGAAAACAGTTGTTTTAAATTGTAATGATTTTTCACAATACAATTGGTTTTACTGTATTTTTGATCAAATAAATGCAGCCTTGGTGAGCAGAAGAGACTTGAAAATGTATCTATGTTAATTCAGTTCTGAATGGTGCTCAACGCTGGTGTGCAGTCAATCAGATCTCAACACTTTTGTTGCTCTTTGCACGAATCTGTGCCAGAAGTCTGTGATAAAAAGCTGAACCGGTTAACAGTGTAAATGAGACCTGAAACACAAAGACACAAAGCAACTGATTCTGCATCCTCCACCATAAACATGTCAGTCTGAGGGAAAACAGATCATCAGACTGCATCATGGGTCCTCCATTAAAACTGTGACATCAGCACATATTCATCACAGTCCATTAGCAGCATTACTGCATGTGCTCTTCATACAAGACAAAACAAGCTGCATGTCTGTCTGAGGCCATCTGCAAAGAAACAAATCTCCAAATCTATCTGAAAGCAAAAAACCAATTGAAAAAATTATTTAATTACCAGTTAGTCTGGTCTTTGCAATGTGCACGGAGAAACTTTGGTCACTTTGGAGTTGCATAAAACCTATGTCTATGAACAAAACAGATCTGAAATCATCTGAGGACACAGAATGAGTCACTGCTAATGACAAATAAAGCATTCAGCACAAACTCTCCAAAGCATAAGAGCAATTTACAGTGGTGTGAAAAAGTGTTGGCCCCCTTCCTGATTTCTTATTTTTTTGCATGTTTGTCACACTTTAATGTTTCAGATCATCAAACAAATTTAAATATTAGTAAAAGATAACACAAGTGAACACAACATGCTGTTTTTAAATGAAGGTTTTTATTATTAAGGGAAAACAAAATCCAAAACTACATGGCCCTGTGTGAAAAAGTGTTTGCCCCCTAAACCTAATAACTGGTTGGGCCACCCTTAGCAGCAACAACTGCAATCAAGCGTTTGCGATAACTTGCAATGAGTCTGTTACAGCGCTGTGGAGGAATTTTGGTCCACTCATCTATGCAGAATTGTTGTAAATCAGCCACATTGGAGGGTTTTCGAGCATAAACCGCCTTTTTAAGGTCATGCCACAGCATCTCAATAGGATTCAGGTCAGGACTTTGACTAGGCCACTCCAAAGTCTTCATTTTGCTTTTCTTCAGCCATTCAGAGGTGGACTTGCTGGTGTGTTTGGATCATTGTCCTGCTGCAGAACCCAAGTTCACTTCAGCTTGAGGTCACGAACAGATGGCCGGACATTCTCCTTCAGGATTTTTTGGTAAACAGCAGAATTCATGGTTCCATTTATCACAGCAAGTCTTCCAGGTCCTGAAGCAGCAAAACAGCCCCAGACCATCACACTACCACCACCATATTTTACTGTTGGTATGATGTTCTTTTTCTGAAATGCAGTGTTACTTTTACGCCAGACGTAATGGGACACACACCTTCCAAAAAGTTCAACTTTTGTCTCGTCAGTCCACAGAGTATTTTCCCAAAAGTCTTGGGGATCATCAAGATGTTTTCTGGCAAAACTGAGACGAGCCTTTGTTCTTTTTGCTCAGCAGCGGTTTTCGTCTTGGAATTTTTAGACCGATGAGCTTTGTAAAAATCGATGCGTTTCAGAAAGGTGGGGCATAGAGGAGAAACAATAATGCACAGTATGTGGAAAATAATGTGGTTTTTTTACCTTAAATCGCATAAACACATTTCATTACACCAAATACACAAAATAATGTTCTTTTTAGCAGCATCATATGACCCCTTTAAATGCCTGAACGAAGGTCTCAATAATATAGTTTTGCATTTATATAAGTGGTCAGTTTGCAATGTCAAGCGCAGACAAGAGATTGCTTAAGACATTTTTGCAAGTATATAACTGTTACCTTGTTATGATGTAAACATCTCTATTTTGCAAAACGTTTTTACACAAAGAAAATGGCCAAAATTGTGCTTGTCATAACAGTAAGTGAGCATATGTCAGAGTTTGCATGCAAATTAAACCAAAGGGTGAAAGTTTGGCCGGTTAACATGGTCTAGTTAGTCCCTGCTGATAGATGTTGTGACTGCACAATTCTGCAGGCCAAAATATAAAATTGGGGTCACACTTTATTAATAATTACTAAGGTAGTTAAGTTTAGGTATTGGGTAGGATTAAGGGATCTAAAATACGGTCATGCAGAATAAGCATTAATATGTGCTTTATAAATACTAATAAACAGCCAATATGCTAGTTAATAGTGAGAATTGGTCCTTAAAATAAGGCGTTACCAAAATTGGATTTACTGTATCTGTTTTAGTCCACATTGGGAAGAATATTATCATCCAGCTGCATGTAATCTGCTAAATCCAACTATAAGATATGAATATATTAAGATATTTTAAATATTAACATCATGAATTTCTGTTAAACTGCTTTGAAAATGTGTATTGTGAAAAGCACTATATAAATAAATGTGACGATGTGAAAAAGCATTTTAGAAAGCAATTCAAATTTATCTGTAAAAGTATTCTCATTAAACAATATGTTGCATGCAAAATATACATACAAATAGATGGATTTAAGCGCCTGGTTTACTTTGAGAAGCTCTCAAAAACATTAAATTGACTTTTATTCCATCTCCCGTCACAAAGGAAGCACGATAATTTAAAACACAATAATATTCATTGATGTTAAATTTAGGTTTAAAATGAACTATAATTCATTTTGACCTCTGGCAAATACAACTGCACACGACTGAACGAGAGAAAAAGGCAAAATATGAAAAACCCAGGTAATCAAAGAAATAATCAACATACACATCTTACATACTATCAGCACTGTAGATCAGGCAGAGGTCGTGACCCTGCACCTGTGATTGGGCTGCAGCACACCTGTGCAGTTTCATTAGGATCGCAGCTGAGAGATTCACGACTGTGAAATGCTCCATACGTACAGGAAGCTAAAACCAGACACAGCTTCTGCGGGAGGATTCTGTCCAGCTTCCACACAGTTTATCTACTAATCAACAATCAATGCTGGAATGTGTCAGATCAACATGGACTGGATTTCAGGCTTTGTTTCGGTTGATGTGGGTAAATGTGCATGTATTAGCCGTGAAACACAAGCTTCATGAGATCCGCCAACATTCACTCAGCATAAAGCTCACTTTCTAGAAAATGTAAGAAATTATAGCATGGCTGGGTTGAAGTCAAGGCATGCATTCCAAACTGTTTCTCACTAAATGAATGCATGAAAGAATGATATTTAATCATTTTCATTTATATGCACCAACATAATACTTCACAGTCATAAGCAACAATATTCACAATCAGATATTTTTACTAAAACATTTAAATACACAAAATAAATGCCACGCAGTGTGAGTGATAATGCAAATGAATCATTGAATTCTGACTGAATCGATTCATTAAAATGGGACAGTGTGAAGTGATTCACTGCAATGAATCAAACTTATCTACCCTAACACTGTTTATTCTACTCAAGTCTAAACAGAGCGATGTTATTAAAACACTTTCATACTCAGGAGTCACAAGACAAGTAATCCACACCACTCCTGTCCATCAATTAGCATCTCACAGCTTCTGCGGGAGGATTCTGTCCAGCTTCCACACAGTTTATCTACTAATCAACAATCAATGCTGGAATGTGTCAGATCAACATGGACTGGATTTCAGGCTTTGTTTCGGTTGATGTGGGTAAATGTGCATTTATTAGCCGTGAAACACAAGCTTCATGAGATCCGCCAACATTCACTCAGCATAAAGCTCACTTTCTAGAAAATGTAAGAAATTATAGCATGGCTGGGTTGAAGTCAAGGCATGCATTCCAAACTGTTTCTCACTAAATGAATGCATGAAAGAATGATATTTAATCATTTTCATTTATATGCACCAACATAATAATTCACAGTCATAAGCAACAATATTCACAATCAGATATTTTTACTAAAACATTTAAATACACAAAATAAATGCCACGCAGTGTGAGTGATAATGCAAATGAATCATTGAATTCTGACTGAATCGATTCATTAAAATGGGACAGTGTGAAGTGATTCACTGCAATGAATCAAACTTATCTACCCTAACACTGTTTATTCTACTCAAGTTTAAACAGAGCGATGTTATTAAAACACTTTCATACTCAGGAGTCACAAGACAAGTAATCCACACCACTCCAGTCCATCAATTAGCATCTTGTGAAGTGAAAACTGCATGTTTGTAACAAACCCCATCATTAAAGCATTTTAACTTCAAACCAATGCTTCCGGCTAAAATATGAGTCCATAATCCATAATATATTACCTTCTCCAGTGACAAAGTTGTCTCGTCTGAATCAGGAGAAAAATCTGCACAGATCAAGAACCGTTTACAAGCCAAAACAGTCCAAAATGGTTCTGAACAAATATGTGTGTGGATTTTGATGTAAGAGACAACAGGAGATGGACTTTTACACTGGAGCAAGCGTTATTATGGATTATGGACTCATATTTTGGCCGGAAGCAACGGTTTACAGTTAAAATGCTTTAATGATAGATTTGTTTCTCACAAACACACAGCTTTTGTCTTCTCCAGATGTTAACTGATGGACTGGAGTGCTGTGGATTACTTGTGGATTATTGTGATGTTTTTATCAGCTGTTTGGACTCTCATTCTGACGGCACCCATTCACTGCACAGCATCCATTGGTGAGCAAGTGATGAAATGCTACATTTCTCCAAATCTGATGAAGAAACAAACTCATCCTAATCTTGGATGGCCTGAGGCTGAGCAAATTTGTACTTTTGTATCAACAAAAGCATCATGAAAAGTGTGTGCATGTACCTTGGCAGCCAGGCGCTTGACGGCCTCCTCGCGGCGCTGCTGCAGCTCAGGTGTGCTGGGACAGCTGCTGGATCGCAGGGTGTTGGTGGTGCTGGGTGGAGGGGTCGGCTGAGGCGGCTGACTCAGGGGCAGATCTGAACTCGGCTCCCCACCTGGACATGTGACAGATGAAAATCCACATGAGCACGAATATCACCAGCTGCTGTGATTCTACTGAGACGAGTCAAATATCAATACACAAACATGTCAGACTGTCTAGGATAAGCTACAATCATGGATAGAAACCCTGTTTTAACTATTTAAAATACTTTTTTTTTTTTTTTTACATTTATTTAAAAGAGGGAATTTTAAATAAATATATACTGGAATGATTTTTTATGAATATACAAGCATCAAAGACATTTTTCTCTCAACTATGCATAAAAATCTATATTTGAACATGCAGTTTAATGTTTCTTGCAATTAAAAAGTAAATGCACATATGTATCACACAGTTGATAACATGCCTCAGAAAAATCAAATATGAACTAAAGATTTTTTTTTTCAAGAATTGTATACTATTTATTTGTTATTTGTTTTTATTGTTCAGTTGAGACTGAAGTACACTACAGTTCAAAAGTTTGGAGTCGGTAAGATTTTTTTTTCATAAAATTATGTTATTCAGCAAGGATGCTTTAAAGGGGTCATATGATGCGATTTCATTTTTTCCTTTCTCGGTTTTTGCAAAAATATGAAGCACACAAATGTTTTCAACATTGATAAACGTTTCTTGAAGAATAATCGACACTGAAGACTGGAGTAATGATGCTGAAAATTCAGCTTTGATTACAGGAATAAATTATATTTTAAAACATACTCAATTAGAAAATGAGAAAAATTTACGATCTATCAAACCTCTGATGTTCCTCATTATTTATCAGAACATTCAACAAGGTCAGAATAACAGCTCAACACCGACACACACGCAGCGGCTCCTGCAGAACACACATCAGCTTGAGTTTCATTAAGTTTTAATGATTTTGTTGTGGGCTTTTTTTTTTTGTAAATATTTCTATTTTTATTTCAGTTTTAGTAATTTTAGTACTTAAACTGTTTTAGTTAGTTGCCAAGGCCATTTTTTAATGTTGGTATATTTTTCATTTTTATCTTATATAATATAAAAACATTATAAAAATATTTTTTTCAGTAATTGAGATTTGAAAACGTTTTAATAGTTTTAGTTCTAGTTAACAATAACAAGCAGTGAAATCACGGTCACTAGTGACCAGTGACACTAAACTGAATTGCAATAATTACTGTTTCCAAACAGGTATTATGTTTTTTCTTTTTCTTTTAAAAAAAATTCTATATTTAGTCCTAATTCTAAATATAGAATTAATTCTATATTTAATTTATTTAAATTCAGTATCAGTTTTAGTAATTTTAGTACTTCAATTTAAACAATTTCAGTTGCCAAGGCAATATTTCTAATTTTCATTTAAGTTTTTTTTCCATCTAATATAATTTTATTTTATTTCAGCATTATTTCAATAGCCAAAAATCTTTTTTTTGGTAATTGAGATTTGAAACTATTTTTAATAGTTTTAGTTATAGTTTTAGTTAAGTAGTGAAATCACTGGCTCTGCTATTTAAATGCATAAACGGTTCCACGTTTCAATGCGCAGCGGTCGCATTGACCATAAACGTAGAACCGTGGAGAGAGAAAGATGAAATCATCCCGAATGCAAAACACCAGCAGCGACCGTAATAACCACAGTAAAGAATGAATGGGGAACAGAACCAGGTCACTGAGCAAACACACACACACACACACACACACACACACACAGACCGAACAATTAGAGACATTTCAAAAGCAACACAACCCATTTAAATCAAAGAGAAGTGAAAAACTCAAAAAATGCAAAAGCCAAATCCTGCAATATTTCACTTTTTTCAAGCTGTGTGTCAGGAGCATGTCATTGCACCAGCAACCTGTTTGCTCTGAAACTACTTTTCACACTCGCACCGAAGCTCTCGATACTCCCAGACTGACGCGTTCTTCAGGCAAAGACAGATGCAGCTCTGCAAACCTCTGCTTCCCTCTCTCTCTCCTCAGGGCACCTCCATGTTCACCCACCGCTCTTTCATTCGCATTCAACTGGTGAACGGCACCGCAGACCGAGTCTCTCTCACCGGCTTCACCGCATCGCTGAACACATCCACAAAGCATCAGAGAAAATCACAACCGCAGCGCTCCACTCTGCAATCCCAATGAAAGAGTGGACGGAAAAAAGGAGAGAGATGAAACGGAGGAGGAGGAAGAGGTCTCTCTATCTCTCCTCTCCTACACAGCGGCTGATTGCAGTTTGTAGCGGGCAGCCGGAGGAGAAATAATCTATGATCCTCCCAGAGAAAAAGATAGAAAGCTAATAAAACAGAGCTGAAGGAGAGTTTGGCCAGGAGGGAGACGGGTGATGGAGGGAGAAGCAGAGCGAGTGAGTGAACGAGCAAATCAGCTGCGCCCCTGCTGCATTTCTCATTCACTTTCAGCTTTAAACAACCTCACTGTGTCACACGCAATACTACAGACTAGGGCTAGGCAATATGACAAAAAAAATGTTTTAAGAATGTTTGACCAATTCAAGATTTCGATTGATTGATTTTTCTTTTTTTTTTGACATTTAACTAGTCGATTTCAAGACACATTTTCTTTATTAACCATCTAGTTAAAGAAATTTCTATTCCAAGTTCACCACACATGAAGGTGTCAACATGGTGTAAATGTAAAACAAAATCACTTGTTAAATATATTTGCAGAAAAGATGCATGAAATATGAAGGCAAATGTTGTACAAACTTGTCTTAAACATGTCATATGTTCAGAAATAATACAAGAAAAATGCTCAAATTCAAAACGACTACAAATGAACAAGGATGCATTAAATTGATTAAAACAATTCCCAGTTCAGTTCTGGATGGTGCACAAGCCTTGTGGAAAAAGCACCGTTACCTTTTTGAAATAATACTCAACTCAGCTAAATTTTATTTATAAAGCACTTTCAAAACCATAAAAATGGACCAAAGTGCTGTACACAAGTAGCATTAAATCTAAAAAACATAGAATATTAAAACACAACAGCAAAAAACATAGAACAATAAGACAAATCATTCACAATTGTCCGACCAATCAAATGCCGGAAGCCTGGTAAAACAAGTAAATCTTTAAGTCCTTTTTAAAATTGTCCATGCTTGACAGGATTTTATAGATAATAACATGCCATTGGTAAGGGGGGTTAACATATCCTGTATACACTCAGTCAGGAGCCTGATCATGCAGAGCTTTATACTCAAACATTAATACCTTGAAATGTATTCGATATTTTACAGGTAGCCAGTGCAAAGATACCAACACAGGTGTTGTATGATCCCGCTTTCTAGTGTTAGTTAAAAGTCTCGCTGCAGCATTCTGAACACACTGAAGACGCATAACCAGACATTCACTAATTCCTAAATATAAGGCATTACAATAATCCAACCACGTTGAAATAAAAGCATGTATGACAGTCTCCAAGTCCTTGTTTGAGAGAATAGTTTTCAGTTTGGACAATTTCCTTAAATCAAAACTAGGGAAAGAATTACTGCAACACGGCCACAAGTTACTAAACGAGGGAACAAATTAAAAAGTCATGTGAGCTATTTCTTTCTGGAGCTAGAACGAGTGAAGAAATGAATCCAGTGAAGTGCCTGTGCATTAAATAGTGTGATGATATTACTGAATCTGAATTGTCTTTTAAAGCTCAACTGAGCGAGCCGCAGGTGTCAGTGTAAATCAGTGCGGCGGCGGAGGGTTTGCAGATATCAAACCCTTCTCTCTTTCTCCTCACAGGCCTCACAGTAGGAAACATCTATGTCCTTTCATTTCTGCCCCTCTCTTTCACTTTTACACTCTCTTCTCTGTCTCAGAAGATGGAGCAGATGGTGTTTCGGCGAGAGATGAAATTCTGCCGTTCCTCTTCTTTGCACTGTGGTCTTGGGAGACTCGGCAGAGACACATGCGCTGGCCACAATTCACCACTCAACAACTGGCTCCTGTTCAATCCATGAGTGTGGATTTGAATTTAACTGGTCACGTCGCATAGGATGTTGAATTGGAATGACGAGAAGAGGAATTTACAGAATTACAATTGAAAGAAATTCAACACGGTCACACAACAGAGGAATTGTCTTAGTCCAACACAAGTAACAAACAACTTAACTTATTTTTCTAAAGTATTTTTCAGCACAGTCAAAACAATTTGCCAAAATAACAGCTCTGTATGTTTATTATTTATTATGTATTATTTATTTATATATATATAGGTATAGTTATTAATTATACAATAATAAAATTATATTTTATACATATATTTGTGTGTATACATACATTTAAAATATACTTATATTTATAAAAAATAAAAATAATTTAGTTATATATAATATATGCATGTAAAGATAAATAGCAATATATATATAAATAAATCTGTATATATATAATTATAATATAATTATGATTATAACATTCATAATAAATAAATAATTGATTTTATATATATATAGTTTATAAATTCATAATTCATTCTGATAAATGAAATGTATTTTTTAAAAACTACTAATTTACTTTTATTTTAACTCTACTTGCTTACATTCAAATGAAAATTACAGTTCAACATCCCTGCAGCTCAAGTGTATTGAGCATTTAAATGACTGAATTTAAAGTTTTGTCTCAGTTCAGTTGTTAACGGTGCTCAAGTGCTTCTCATGCTGGACTCCAGGTGCTGTTTTTGGGTTGGGTTTGTGGGTAAATGTCTCACTCTGTGGCTCTGGCTCCTGTCCCAGGAAATGACTTTCCTCTTTCCTGACACCTGGAGGATTCAGAGAAGCGTTCGCTCTGGTGACGGTGCATCTGGAATCACTGGTGTCTTCAGCTGTGACTGCTTGTGTTCAGCTCGACTGAGCTGCTGCCCCTTCTGCTTTAATTGCACTAAGTCAGCCTTTTGACAATTATCAATATTTAGCTCAATATTTATATTAGGTAAATTTGGATTTATTTTATTTTATTCTAAAATAGATGTATTCTTTTAGGAAATATATATTTTTATTTTTAATTCTGTTTTATTTATTTTTATTTTTTGTGGGCAGCATGTCAAGTCAAGTCACCTTTATTTATATAGTGCTTTATACAATACAGATTGTGTCAAAGCATCTTTACAGTGTTAAATTTATTTTATTCTAAAATAGATGTATTCTTTTAGGGTATATATATTTTTATTTTTAATTCTGTTTTATTTATTTTTATTTATTTTTATTTTTTGTGGGCAGCATGTCAAGTCAAGTCACCTTTATTTATATAGTGCTTTATACAATACAGATTGTGTCAAAGCATCTTTACAGTGTTAAACAGAGAAATAGTGTGCTGATAATGCAAGAGGACAATAGAAAACAGTCCGTTTATCAGTTAAAGTCAGTTCATCATTGATTCAGTGATGTCATCATAAGCTCAGTTCAGTTCAAATAAAATTGTCAGAAATTAAGCGACCCTAACTAAGTAAGCCAGAGGCGGCAGCGGCAAGGAACCAAAACTCCATCGGTGACAGAAATGGAGAAAAAAAACCTTGGGAGAAACCAGGCTCAGTCGGGGGGCCGGTTCTCCTCTGGCCAGACCAAACCAGCATGGTGTGTATGTGCCACTTATTTATGTATGTATGTATGTATTTTGCTTTAGTTTCAGTAGACGTGGGCAACATAGCTAAAGAAATTACATCTCATATTTATTACATTTCTCCTTATTTGTTTTATCAAACAAATCTTAATGGTCCTAAAATAGACTGTTTTATATTTGGAATTCCGGTTGAAATGTGACCCTGAATGTTTTTTTGATTTTCTCCCACATTTGTGTGTTTGTGGGCAGCATTAAAGTGGCACTTATTATTTTATAATATCATTATCTTTTGCCTCCCCCTCCCACTTTAAAACACACATCATAACCTGTCAGGATGTTTCTTATGAAGTGCTCTGCATATCTCATTTGACGGTTTGTTTGTTTAAGCGAGTGTCATTTTACAGCTCTGTGCATTTGTGTGGTTTTCACCTTCATCTTGTCATATTTAGTGCCACCACTCACCTTTGTTTACTCACCTAACTCTCTGTCTGTGATTTTAAAGATATTTAGATTGACAGTGGCTTGTCCGTCAACATCTTCACTTATAAAAGGTCACATTGGCTGTAATTTGGAGAAGTTTTTTTAAACGCTTGTGTTGCAAAGCCAATTGCTGTCAACACTGCAAGTGTCTATAGTGGTGTTCTGCACGTTTACAGACACCCAGTTTCTATTACTGAACTAAAGCCAATTCTAACCAGCCAAAACCTTCACCCATGTGTTGCTCGTTTGTCAACATCACTCATTAATAATGCCGAATCACAACACTGAGTCCTGAGGGTCTGACTGTGTGTTTGTAAGATCGATTAGCGTCATCCCAACGGTGCAGTGAAGGAGCATCTGACCCCGCGTCTCAACATGAATCAAGCCTGTTAATTAACATCATCCGGTTCAAAAGGCCCACTCATCTGACCCCATGAATATATTCAAGCGATGACATCATCTGAGTTATGCATATTCATCTGTAAACAGACAGCAGATTACTCGGCGAAAGCAGGGGAATAGGACGTAATCTGTGGAGCTGGTCACGGGCCAGTCTGCTGCTAAAGCTGGTCTGATTAGATTTCTCTCTCAGCGAGGTTTAGCTCTGCCACTGAGGAATGATTCTCTGGGTATCAGCCATTTGCACTGGAGCTCAAACACACACACACACACACATGCATGCAGATGCAGAGATATTCAGGTTTTAAAAAAAAGATGGGCTATCAATATGCAGTCGTGTTGTACATCAGATACACGGCGCTGCTTTGACCGGTGGAGTCACTAGATTTACATTTCCTGACGGCAACAGCAGGGCTTGTGAGGCAGTAAAACTATAGTGATCAAGTACGTTTGAGATTCAGTCTTTGGTTCTGTGTAAATGAAACGCCATAGCAGAGACACTTGTTGTCCAGGAGCCTCTTTTCGCCCACGTCTCTGTCGGCAGATATTAAAATATGTACAGTATTGGTCTACTGTACTTCTCTTGGCTCCCTGTAAAAGCACATTTCTGCTATAATTAGCAAAATATTGATG